AAATATAAAATTTTGATGTTATTTTTGGAAACAAAACTTCAAAATGTGATATTTTTGAGAATTATCTTTTGTATAATTGCAAATTTACAACATCGAATTTTAGGAGGCACATTAACTAATTATTGATCTTCATGGTCAATAAATTTTGAATTGTTTGAATTCAAGATATTAGTATTGAGTTCATCAAATTGTTGTGCTCTTGATTCTCTTTGTTTTTTTTAAACTACTTGATTCTCTTTGTTTTTTTAAACAACTTGATTCTCTTTGTTGAATCAAAAAGAAATTGTTATGTGGCTAGAAAGTAGATGGGGAAGAAGCAAGGCTTGCAGATTACTTTGATGTAGTTGCTGGTACGAGCACGGGCGGTCTAGTTACTGCCATGCTGACCGCCCCAAACAAGCAAGGTCGTCCCTTATTTGCCGCTAACGAGATCAAAGACTTCTATCTTGAGCATTGTCCTAAGATTTTCCCTCAAGATAAGTTTCCCTTTTCATCTGCGAAGAATTTGTTGAAGTCTTTAACTGGACCAAAGTATGATGGTTACTACCTTCACCAACTAATTAAAGAAAAATTAGGAGAGACAAGATTACACCAAACACTCACCAACATCGTAATTCCTACTTTTGATATCAAACATCTTCAGCCTACTATTTTCACTACCTATGAGGTTTGGATATAGTATAATTTATCTCCTTTTCAAACAATCACAAAAGTTTAGCAATTTACATATAATGTTGGTGTGAATAGGTGGAAAATAGACCTCTCAAAAACGCGCTACTCGCGGATATTAGCATCTCAACCTCAGCCGCCCCAACTTATCTGCCTGCCCATCACTTTCAAACACAAGACTCGACTGGGAACGTCAAGGAGTTCCATCTTATTGATGGGGGTGTTGCAGCTAACAACCCAGTAACTATTTTACTCATTACCAACTCAATATTTTTATAACATTTTGCGAAAAAAATTTTTGATGGATATTCCTTGAGTCTAGGCTTTGTTGGCCATTGGGGAGGTGACGAAGGAGATCACAAAAGGTAATACTGATTTCTTTCCAATAAAACCAAATGACTATGCAAGATTTCTCGTGCTTTCACTTGGGACCGGTGATCGTAAGGTGGACAAGGCATTTGATGCAAGAGAATGTGCGGGATGGGGAATGTTGAGCTGGTTGGCACACAACAATTGCACGCCAATCATTGATGCCTTTACACAAGCCAGCTCTGATATGGTTGATCTTCATCTATCTACTGTCTTCCAGGCTCTTCATTCTGAGCCCAACTATATTCGTATCCAGGTAATTTATTTATTTATTTATTGTAAGATATATACGTTGGTTATCATCTTTTACGCATCGTCTCATTCATATATATTTTGAAAGTGATATACGATAAGAATCCCACCTCATAAGAGAAGTGGACCAATAGGTCAATCGGTTTGGAGTAGCAAACACATAAAAATTAAGAATATCATAAACAGATATGCCCTTATTGCTCAGCCGTTGAATCTTGCTAATCTAACCGGACTGTTTGGAAAACATTTTAGGATGATACATTAACGGGAGATGCATGTTCGGTTGATATCGCAACAGAGGAAAATTTGAGTAATCTGGTGAAGATTGGGGAGAGATTGTTGAAGAAACCTGTATCAAGAGTAAATCTAGAAACGGGCTGCAACGAGGATGCCTACGAGACTACAAACGAGGAGGCTCTTATCAAGTATGTTTAGTGATGTGATTAGAGTATAAAAACAACTTAAATTCTTATTATGACTTACAATAATATTGTACTAACATCTTTGATGTCATCCTCTTTTTTGGGTCAGGTTAGCCCGTATCCTCTCTAAGGAAAAGACACTTCGTGACATTCGATCTCCACATGGAAAAACGCGGAAAACGAGTTAAAACAGATTCCATTTTGTTCAACAGCACACATGCACTATATATATAAATATACCTGATGGTCAAGGCTCAAGGGCAATGCACTTCGCTTACAAACACTTTTATAAGATATAGATTATTAAGAGTTGTTATAGTAGTACCCTCATACTACTGTTGGAGCAAATTAACTCTGGAATAATGGAGCCATTGGTTTGAACTAGTCTTTGTTTGGTGGTTTGCAGTTAATAATAGACCAAGTATTACAGTCAAGTTTGTTTCTCTGATTTAATTTGTTGCCTTAAGCTTAGGAATTCAGTTATTGTAAAGGCTATTTAAGCCGTGATCCCTTATATATTATTTTGAGACTGATTTGTGAGGATATACTTATGTGTCACCTCTACATTCACTCTAAAAAAATATGACATGGCAAACACACAAAATATGACATGACAAATATTTGATTTAAAATGAAGATTATATAAGGTATCACTATAAGTGGAGATTTCCATATAAAAATCTAAATAAAAAAATATTAATTCCTTTCACATATATTTGATAAAGTTTTAAGAAAAAAATTATTAGAATTTAATTTTTCGTGACAATAAAGTTTTGTATGTAAATTTTTTTTACGCAAAATATAAGTTTCTCTGAAATTTTTTAATATATATTTATTACAATAACTATACTCAAAAAAATTAAACAACTGAAAATATGTTCGCATTTGTTTTAAAAATTTGGGGAGTGATTTGTGAGAATATACTTATGTGTCATCTCTACATTCACTCTCCAAACAAAAAAATATGACATGGCAAACACACAAAATATGCATTGCAAATATTTGATTTAAAATGAAGGTTATATAAGGTATAATTATAAGTATAGATTTGCATATAAAAATCTAGATAAAAAATATTAATTCCATTTCACATATATTTGATAAAGTTTTAAGAAAACAAATTATAAGAATTTAATTTTTCGTGATAATAAATTTTTGTATGTAAAATTTTGAGAAATTTTTAAAAATGCCACATCTCATATGCCACTTTACAAAAATGTCACACTTTAAAATTGTTTACAAGCGTGCCACTATTCATTAAACCAAAAGTCAAA